TTGCTTGTCTTTACTGTTTTGGAGAAACACATGTGCCAATGACATCAGTGGTTTTGTTATTTATATTAATTCATCTTTTGCATACGTGTAAAGTTAAGTTAAGTTGACCCGTTTAACGTTTATGAATTAGTCAAATTTTATTTATGGTTTCATTAACAATCAACAATATTTTAGTTGTCGCTTTTAAGTTTGGCGAAAACAATTTTGATCTTATGTTATTTACTGCATTTACTGGACATTTGGTCATTCTGTTTTGATTGACACAGAAATAAAATCTTTGAAATTTGAATTTATTAACATATTTTAATACAGATTTTTTCAACTAAGTTGATAATATTATTGATCTTAAGAACTTGTTCGTTCATTTGTCATTAGTTAGATAACCCTAAATGAGAGGATTTTTTAAAAATATATTTAACATTCGGCTTCGTAAAATACGAAAAGTGCACATCATTTCTCGGAACGTGTTCAATTTTTCAAGGATATTTGAGGTATGTCCTCAAAAGAGAAATACCAGATAAAAAGAAGTGATTACACTAAAGAAGAAACATAGTGAATAAGAAGTTAATGACTGATGATATCGTTGACGAAGAAGATAAATCCTTTTTAAATGCAAGAACACATAGCTGTTCTCAAATTGTTGACTGGAGAAATTTAATCAGCCGGTGTGGTGTCACAGTAAGTGTTCATCTCTGAAGCACCTTTTCAAAACAAGGAGGAGAATTCTGGTGGTAAGATCCCTGTAATGGCATCGGGTTTTTCCGTGCCATGTCGGCATTGTACGTAACTTATCGGCACATCCGTTACCTCTCGCCCGTTTCCGTAAACAGATTAATGTTTTATTTATAAATAAATAAATTATCCATATAATTATATCCAGTACAAATAGAATTTTAGTTTTTGATACAATGAAAATTAAATTATCAAAAAGAATATGTTGTTCGTAAACGGATAATTCGTAAAAACCCCGTTGCTGTGAAACCAGGTTGGGAAACTCCTAAATGACGTCACGATTTCAGAAAATAGAACGCAGAAGTGAAAATGAAAGTAAGAGACAGAAAAGGCCGGTACAAGGCAAAAAACAAACGCAAGTTGAGGAAAGAGTGTAATATTCTTGTGGATCATAATTATCCTCACGTATTGAGCATTTGTAATTGTAAAATTGGTAATTGTCCAATTTTTGAACACCGAAAGAAGTGTAGAACCTTGCATATGATAGTTAAATGACTTACCTATCTAGATGTCTGTATGTCAGGTCTGGATGCACTAATATGCCTGTCTAATGAACGGATTAGTTTCACCTGGTCAATGTTGCCTGCAGCACCAATGGCTGCTTCTGGAGGAATCACCCAGAATCCCCATGGGCCCTATTGCCGTCAGGGGTTACAGCCAATCAAGGTTATGAAGCATAATTATACTCACGTACTCAACCTATCTCGTACCTAGGTCCGTGAGCACCACACTCCTCCCCATCCTATTTGAAGGTGTTGGTCCACCCTGACGACCTAACCAAACAGGCTCTAATTTCTGGGATGACTTTCCTGGTTCTAACCAGTACTGGTATTGCAACTACTTGCTTTTTTACAATTAGCACTAAAGTTACAATACCCCTCCCTAGTGATTAAGGTACCTATTCTACCAATAACCACAATTTGCAGATCACAGGTCCTATACCAATCAAACATTTAAATCTAAGATGTTTCGAGGCCTCTAACCACTGATCCCAAGTAAGCACCTACAGCTTAATCAGACCTGTCCACTGGGAGCAACAGCCTCCCCTCAATGCACAGCCTCAGCGCGATAACCAGTCAGTTGGAAAACGCGCAACGTGACCCCACCGATCATATCTGGAGTAGAACTTCTACCTTTCGGCGGACTGAAACATGGAGCTTTGGTCTCCAGGAGTCTGGAATACTCACCTTAATGACCGTCTCCAAATGGTCGTTTGACCGGCAGCTCACAGCAGTGAACTCCACACACATGTTCTGGAACTTCTCCAGCCACCACTGACTGATCCCAAGAGGTATACATCCAACTCACCTAGTGAATTGATCCACCATTACAAGTACAATCCCATGTACCCGTTCCATGGGGATTCTGCCTGGTAATCAATTGTCAAATGGCACTTCTCCTGCCAGTCAACTTACCTGCCTTACACTATGAAACAAGCAGTTTCAAATCATGGCCAAAACCATACCAGGTATACTCCTCTTTAACTTGTTCCCTAATACATGTTACAACCTGATGACCTGAAGATGGCAGGCTATGATCATGAGAAATAGCCTCCTTTAGCTCTTCGGCAATACTTATAGAACACCCTAGTGCTTAGGGTCATCAGATCCAGGCACTAACTTGCCTCAACCTTACAATTGTTGCCTAGCCCAGTGATGACAATATAATTTAACATACACAATGTATCACAACTGGCAAGCTATCAAATTTACCCCTTGGTGACTGTTACACTCTTTGGTAAATTCTCTCCATCAGAGACTTTTGTTGCAAGGTATGGCTTGCCATTCCCATCATTGGTGTCAGATGGCTTTCAACCTTCAGACCCGTAGACAGTTGTGCTTCGCCTAGTCCCCCCAGAATATGATTTAATGTCAATTTCTGGTCTGTATTCCTTGACTAGATGCACAGTATCGTCTACCTCCTCAAGAAGGACCCCCAATTATTCTGGGCTCTGTTATTAATATATACACCTACCACAAGGCAATTCATCCAGATGTGTTCCCACATGGTACTCGATACAATGACCCACGTCCGGACTTGTGGCCACTGCACCCCTTTCCCATGCTCACAACCTGGACAGTGTTGCAACACATTAATATACCGAGACAGCTCCTTCAACCACCTCTCCAATTGCCATTGTGGCTCCCTGTCCCCCATAAGCCACCTCAAAATAGAATGGTCATTCCTTACCACAAACAGTCTATTTCCCAGATCCTCGATCAGGACAATTTCTTCTAAAATGCCCCTCCTTCCCACAATTGAAACACAAATAAGGCCCTTTCTTATGGTTTCCTCAACCAATAACCTTATCAAACTTCTGTCTAACTGTTGGATCGCCCTCATTACAGTAAGGTTATCCAGGGTGGAAGATGAGCTAACCGATGTAGCTTCAACCGCAAAAACATCGCGATTTTCATCATCGCGCCGCCTAGTATCCCTTCTTGCCTTACCATGCATGGCCTTGTACACCTGTTGGTACTTTCTTACAATTTGAATTGCCCCTTGGACACTAGACGGGGACTGCATACAAACATGATGCCCTGCATCTTTGTCAAGCAGCCCTTGGCAGAAACGACTAATAACTTGCTCTTCAATAAATGAGACTGGCAAGCCCTTGAATGCTCTTACCGCCAGAATCAATAGTCTTTCTCCAAAATCTTCCAAAGACTCGTCAGGGTTTTGACAAGCCTGCTGGAATTGTGCTTGAAACGCAGCAGGTAAATCATGTTGCCCATACCGCGCTTCCAGCATTAAGCATAGACTCCTATATGAGTCTACCTCTTCTGTGTCTTTCAAAATGACAAAGTATTCCATGGCCTTTCCTGTCAAACACCAGCAAAGACCATTGAGCTTCTCCCCCTCTGACCAATTAGAGGCGTCGGCAAACCTGTTAAACTTTAAAATAAAAGCTTTCCAGGAGCCTACCCCATCAAACGTCAGATGCCTTGGTAATGATTTTAATGTATCAATTAACAAGCTGGGCCTACACCTTTCATGTTCAGCCCCATACCCCCTTGGGTATGATGGTTTACCAATGTCGGCCTCACCATGACAACCCACATGTTGGATATTCTGTTCCTCTAGATTGTGCCAAGGATTTCGTTCCCTCCTAGAAGAGAAATCAATGTCCCTTGGGGTATACCTACTACTAAGATAAGGGTCCCCACAAGATGCATCCTCACCCGATGTAGGTTCCTGACCTTGGCTATCCATTTGTGGACCTTTTGCCATAAGCCGAGAAGCTACATCCATTTCACGCTTCAGGGAAAGCCCTTTACTGGCTTCTATCAACTCATCCTCTTTCTCTTCAGCTGGCCAACACTTATTGGACGTAAAATCAATAAGTGCTAGCTCATCCTCCGTAAACTTTTTACGGCAAATAACTGACAAAATCTCTGGTGTGATATTGCCACTATTTTCCCTAACTGATAAAAGGGCTACAGCTAATTTCTTACCGATTCCAGGAATTAGAATTAACTGGTCAATATCACAAAAATTTAATGCTACAGGGCTATGGAGCCCTGTGACCGGCTCATCCTTTACTGATGAAGCGTCTGCCACGCCTGTCAAGTCATCTTGCTGTGACATGGTTCAATTACTTGTGTACCAATTACAAGAAAACAACAAAACTTATTTATCAAAAAATAAACAAATTACTCTATTAAATTAATGTTAAATTTAATAAAATACGATGGCAGAACAAAAGCACAAAACTGACTTGGTGATTTCACACTCAACACCAGTAGGCTATTTTCCTTTGGTGTTTCCACGGGAAAAAAAAATCCGCCAAATTCGAATAATTATCTCAATTATCCAAAAATTACACGTAAAAGTGCCTTATGAAATAAATGCAATTGTCTTTAGACCAATTACACCTGTTAACAGACACAAGGTTCGATTATTTTAGGTTTACAAAAATGCCTCACCTAAAATCAGCTGTTTTGCAGATAGCGATTTTTTACTGGCAAAACTGGTACTCAAATTACCGCTGCCACCATTGTAGAACCTTGCATATGATAGTTAAATGACTTACCTATCTAGATGTCTGTATACCAGGTCTGGATGCACTAATATGCCTGTCTAATGAACGGATTAGTTTCACCTGGTCAATGTTGCCTGCAGCACCAATGGCTGCTTCTAGAGGAATCACCCAGAATCCCCATGGGCCCTATTGCCGTCAGGGGTTACAGCAAATTAAGGTTTTGAAGCATAATTATACTCACGTACTCAACCTATCTCGTACCTAGGTCCGTGAGCACCACAGAAGGGATCGGCAGGTGGGTGGAGGAAAGGGAGACGGGTGATTGAGTTCGACGTTTTGGTAAGAAATTTAGCTCACTGCAAGGAATGTCGTCTTGGACCGTTACTACTAACAAGCGACAACGTTGTTGGGGAGCTGCAAAAGGGCTTGGGTGGCTATCTGTATGTTATGTGTTCGAATTGGGAGTGTAGAGCTGTCAATTTGGTTTCCTATGGAACAACTCACCACAACAAAACGAACGGGAAGCCCTGCTTTGAAATAAACACAAAGCTTGGATTTGGTAATTATCATTTTTTATTTGAAACAAATTGATAGATAGTTTAAAATGAAAAAATACTGTACGGCTAGCCTAAACAGTGCATATAGGCTAGTCATCTGTGACTCATTTTGGCCAGCAGTACGGGCCTGTACGACTTGCTACTTCCAATGTAAAAATACAATATATACGTAACACTTCTCTCTCAACTTTGATTTTCTTGTCAGCTAAACTGAAGATATGCAGCTTTAATGTCTTAGAATACACACATGACAGTAGGCTCATGTTTGTGAACTCAGTGATTTTCGTCTTTATAAAATCTTATTCATGTGATAGAGAATAAAAATTTCAAGCATTACTCAACAGTTAAAAGGTAATTAAGTATTTAAAAAATTATCATTAAAGGTTTATGCACATACACCATCTAATTTGAACAATGATTGTAACTGCTATTTTTTCTGTCATATTTACAGCAATGATTGACAGCATTGGTGGGGCTGTCAAAGTAAACAATTTCCTTGCCACTCTTGATCTTAAGCTGATAAGCCTAGAAAATCTTAAGGAAATGGAGAGAAGGGCTGGTGAAGTGATAGAAGCTCTCTCAGCAGAATCACAGAGACGGTCAGCTGAAGAGGCTTACAAAAAAGAAATGGAGTATGTAATTAACTTGTTACCACAATAACTATTGTCAAATTTTTTTTACTGCTTCATATGAAAAATAATTTACCACTTCTTAGTTAAACGCATTAAGTATGTATTGATTGATTGATTGATTTTCTTTAGACCGGGAGGTCAAGGATAACCTACGAAAGTGCAAGCACTTATTTCCAGTAGGGTCCTTACCTCAGCAGACACTAGAGACAGCTATGAGATACAAGGAAATCCGGGAACCAGTCCCTAGCTCTTATTGAATAGATTCCTTGGTTCTTTTACATGCCCAGTGTACTGTAGCACTGATACATGCGAGGATTACCTGTGTATCGTACCAGTAAACCTCTAGTTAGGTGGGAAACACTGAAAGTGTTTCTGAAAAATCCCAAGGGTGTTACCCAGGATCGAACCCAGAACCTCAGGAGTGACAGTCAGTGGTCTAACCAATAGTCTTTTCAATACATTGTGCCATCATTCATGATAAACATTTTCCACAGGGACATCGCCAAAGAAGAGATTCAGGAATCTCGACAAAAAATGGAAGAAGCTGATGGAATAGAAGACTTGGGTGTCTGGTTGCCTCCTGATTCTTCACCTTTATTAAGGTAAATATGAATGCAGTCTTACAATGTTTAGCATTATACTTCTATGAAACAAGTAAGGATATTTTTGTAATGTAGTAGTGGGGTTTAGATTGAAAACAAAACTCAATTAGGCTTTAAATATACATGTATATTACTTCTATTAAGAATTAAAGCTGTAATTAAAAGAAACAAGAGCACCGCTAGGCGGAGCATTATATGCCCGAAAGTGTTTTTTTTTTAGTAAAGATGAAGCATTTGTAAGACATGGGACTAAAATAAAGTATCACCTCCTTCAAATAACAATCCTCCTTTGAGGTTTCAATATTGTGGTCCAAATGGAACTTTAAGTTATGTCCCAGAAACTGTTTTCAATTCTAAGGTAAAAGTGACCTTGACCTTTGACCTTGTGACCCCAAAATCATTAGGGGTCTTTTATCCAATATGGACAATCATACTATGAAGTTTTTGAATATTGTGGGCTAAATGGAACTAAAGTTATGTTCAAGAAACTGTTTTCAATTTCTAGGTAATAGTGACCTTGACCTTTGACCTTGTGACCCCAAAATCAATAGGGGTCTTCTACCCAATATGGACAATCATCCTATGAAGTTTGAACACTGTGGGCCAAATAGAACTTAAGTTATGCTCCGGAAACTGTTTTCAGTTCTAAGGTAATAGTGACCTTGACCTTTGACCTTGTGACCCCAAAATCAATAGGGTTCTTCTACCCAATATCGTCAATCATCCTATGAAGTTTGAACACTGTGGGCCAAATGGAACTTAAGTTATGCTCCGGAAACTGTTTTTAGTTTTAAGGTCATAGTGACCTTGACCTTTGACCTGTGACTCCAAAATATAAAGGGGTCTTCTACCAAATATGGACCACATCCTATGAAGTTTGAACACTGTAGGACAAATGGAACTTAAGTTATGCTCCGGAAACTGTTTTCAGTTTTAAGGTCATAGTGACCTTGACCTTTGACCTTGTGACCCCAAAATCAATAGGGGTCTTCTACCAAATATGGACAATCATCCTATGAAGTTTGAACACTGTGGGCCAAATGGAACTTAAGTTATGCTCCAAAAACTGTTTTCAGTTTTAAGGTCATAGTGACCTTGACCTTTGACCTTATGACCCCAAAATCAACAGGGGTCTTTTACCCAATATTGACAATCATTCTATGAACTTTGAATATTGTGGGCCAAATGGATTTTAAGTTATGCTCCGGAAACCAAATTGCTAACGTTTTCAGTTTTAAGGTCATAGTGACCTTGACTTTTGACCTTATGACCCCAAAATCAATAGGGATCTTCTACCCAATATGGACAATCATCCTATGAAGTTTGAATATTGTGGGCCAAATGGAACTTCAGTTATGCTCCGGAAACCAAATTGCTAACGGACGGACGGACAGACGGACTGACGGACGGACGGACACCCCCTCTTCTACCCAATATCGTCAAGCATCCTATGAAGTTTGAACACTGTGGGCCAAATGGAACTTAAGTTATGCTCCGGAAACTGTTTTCAGTTTTAAGGTCATAGTGACCTTGACCTTTGACCTGTGAACCCAAAATCTACAGGGGTCTTCTACCAAATATGGACAATCATCCATTGAAGTTTGAACACTGTAGGACAAATGGAACTTAAGTTATGCTCCGGAAACTGTTTTCAGTTTTAAGGTCATAGTGACCTTGACCTTTGACCTTGTGACCCCAAAATCAATAGGGGTCTTCTACTAAATATGGACAATCATCCTATGAAGTTTGAACACTGTGGGCCAAATGGAACTTAAGTTATGCTCCAAAAAACTGTTTTCAGTTTTAAGGTCATAGTGACCTTGACTTTGACCTTATGACCCCAAAATCGGAATAGGGGTCTTCTACCCAATATGGACAATCATCCTATGAAGTTTGAATATTGTGGCCCCAAATGGAACTTAAGTATGCTCCCGGAAACCAAATTGCTAACGTTTTCAGTTTTAAGGTCATAGTGACCTTGACCTTTGACCTTATGACCCCAAAATCAATAGGGGTCTTCTACCCAATATGGACAATCATCCTATGAAGTTTGAATATGTGGGCCAAATGGAACTTCAGTTATGCTCCGGAAAACCAAATTGCTAACGGACGGACGACAGACGGACCGACGGACGGACAGACGGAACGGACGTACGGACGCCCGGGGGGGAAAACATAAAGTCCGAAAATTTTTTCAGGCATATAGTAACAATAAACCCAAAACAGCTAAATATTACTTCATACAAAAAAAATAACCTCACTTAACTTGCAAATCCCTTCAATTTCCCAATTTTCAAAAGGAAAAAAAAAACATAAAAAAATAACACCCCAAAAAGATCTGGTCTGGCCCTTTTAAGGGGTGAATTACCATAAAAATTCTAAAAGAGAGCTTTGGGTTTATTTAACCTTTTTTACAAAATACTAGATTCCA